CACTTTCACATTATTGTGGGTGTTTCAGAAGATTCAGTAATTTGATGTATGTGAAAACATCCAATAGAATGCTCGGAGGAGAGTAAGCACCCCACGAATGGTGCTTCCCTTTCCTTCCTTGCCTGCTTTTTCCTTTTTCAAGCACACATCATTACAAACTAAGAAAATTTCCTTTTTTGGCAAGCATACACTGAAGAAGTGATTCTTGGTTGTGGTTTGGCAAAATTCTGAGTTGTCGCCAATTATTTTCAGAAATGTCACACAACTCCCAAACTCCAATGAATTTTAACTTAATTTTAAATACCATCTGGGTAAAAAAGGCTGGCGTTACAAAATAAAATAATAATAACTATAGTGGTTTACCGAGAGGTTGGGAATCCCCACATTAAGACAAAAAGAGAAGTGGAAATTTGACATTTAAGAAAGAACCAGATAGGATCTTCAAAACTGAGAACCAATTATTATAAAGGGTAAGCACAAACAAGGCACTTGACTTGTTATCATATGCTTTCATGCTAGGTAGGTGATTAAAGTCACCGCACAATAATTTCTATAATAAATTATATATGACTATTTCACATACAGCATTCTAATAGAAATCAAAGGTAATGAGAAAGGTAAGTTTTGTTCTAATAATATTTGGACTTTTAAGGATAAAGAAATGCTGCGAAGGGTGTCTTAGGTTAGGCATCTCCCCTTCAGTTCAGGTCATGATCTTAGGGTCCTGGGATTGAGCCCCGAGTTGGGCTGCGCACTCCACCCTCAGTGGGAAGTCTGCTGCTCTCTCTCACTCTCTCTCTCTCTCTCTCAAATAAATAAATTAAATAAGACAAATACTGTCTAAATTTTCAAGGTTATGTGTATTAAACTTAGCTAATTACAAGAAGATACAGTAAAAATTAATAATGGACCTAAAGTATCAATGCTAATAAAGAAGTCTCAAATTTCCAAGTCTACTTAAGTTGAATTTCAAATCTATGTACAAATATGAAGGAAGTTTTACATAGCAGCTTATGATTACAAATGAAAAGTCAAAATCTGAATTTAATCATTACTGAGCATACATACAACATTTCAAATGATACTTTGTATAAACTTTGGAAGTAAAAATTCATTGTCAGAACTTTGCTGGTTGCAGTGTTGCAATGCAGGCTTGGGTAATGAGATAAATGGGAAAGCAACATGAAATGATGAAATGTGGATAATTATTAGCATTTATTCTTTTTTTTTTAAAGATTTTATTCATCCATTCATGAAAGACACAGAGAAAGAGAAAGAGAGAGAGAGAGAGAGAGAGAGAGAGAGAGAGAGGCAGAGACACAGGCAGAGGGAGAAGCAGGCTGCATGCAGGAAGCCCGATGTGGGATGTGGGACTGGATCCTGGGACTCCGGGATCACGCCCCAGGCCAAAGGCAGGTGTTAAACCGCTGAGCCACCTGAGGATCCCCCATCATTTATTCTTTTACATACTGGGATGTATGATCAGGGTACGACACTGACAAAAATCCCTCTTTTCATAGGATTTACTTACTAGTGCAAAGATTTTTTTTTTTAAAGATTTTATTTATTTATTCATGAGAAACACACAGAGAGAGGCAGAGACACAGGCAGAGGGAGAAGCAGGCTCCCTCTGGGGAGCCTGATGCGGGACTGAATCCCAGGACTCCAAGATCATGACCTGAACCAAAAGCAGATGCTCAACCACTGAGCCACGCAGGTGCTTCTCAAATATTTTTTTTATTTTTAATTTTTTTGCAAAGATTTTTTTAAAGTGAATTTTGCAATATGTTAGAAGATAAAAGAGCCACTGAGGGAAAGTAAGGGAAAAGAGCATGCCGGATGTTTTTATGATATACTTGGGAAATGATTGGGATTTGACAATCAGAAATATCTTAAGAGTGTTTATGGGTGTTACTAAGGAGAAATTAGAGTGAACAAAAACTTTCACAGAGATTGGAAAGGTTAAATGCAAATTATAGCAAGGAAAATTATAATAATAGGACATTGAGGTTGTCAGGAGGTTTAGATCTTGCTTAGGAAATCTTCACTCTTCAGATTAGGAAACAAATATTGAGAATTTAAAGAATAGAGACTAGAAATAGAATAGGAAAAAAGGTATCTTAAAATAGTATTATTCCCTTGAGGTTAACACTTTTACCTCTCCTGAATACAAACATTCTTTTAGAACCCAGAGCCTAAGGGGAAGCTGGGTTTCCCTCAATGTTATATACAGCTGTAAGGCGAAATGGAAGGCTATTGGCTATTTGGAGGTCCTCCCCGTTTCCCCTGGGGGCAATGCCATACCAGCCAGTGGATAAGTGTGGGGAAGTCTCTCTTAAATACATTCATTCTCCAGGCACTGCAGCGGGGGATGCTGGCATGACAGAGATTTGGGAGAAAAGGAGGGGGCTGAAATACCCAGTTCTATTCCTTTCCATTCCTAAGATCTGGAGGTAAGACTCTAGGCAGGCCTCATCCATGGTGCAGACAAATACTTCCCCTGGTATCTTTAATCAAATGAAAACTTTAAGAATTGGCACTTCATCTGATGGTAAGCAAGAAATCGTCAGCCTGCAGGTTTCCCAATCACTAGGAGTCAAAACCAGGAGCCAATACTTAAATGAATAAGAAGAGATCTATTTTTAGAAGGTGGCATCCTGGTTTCCATTCACTGTTATTCACAGGTCACAGTGCTGACTGTGGCTTCTGAAAATCTGCTGGGCTTAAGAGTCATCATGACTTCAGCACGTTATCTTGTTTCCTGAGGCCTATTACTCCCAGAGGGGCACAACTAGAGCATTCATTTGTCATGGGTTTTTCCCCTTGTTCCCGGCCTCAGTGGCTTTGCCTTCATCTGGCTGTGACAGATAAGAGGAATATTTCAGAGTTAGGGGAACCTAACTGAAGGGCTGGAGTTAGTAAGCCTAGTACATACCCATAAACATCAAGAGCCTATAGCAGGGGTTCAAATAATAACACATTCTCTGATGGATAACGAATAGAACAAAGAAGATACAGCAGGGAGGATAAAAATCTTAGTTTCCTGAGTTTTACTGCAATAAATAAAGTAGTGATGGCAATGTTAATGATACAGCAAACTTTGGCTTTGGATAAACCACCATAGGAATCAGGATTATACCCTTTTTTTCCCCAATCCCTAATGGATTAATGGTAAACCTTAGTTACATTAATGTCTTTACAGGGGAATTTAACGTATTTACAGGAAATTTCATTGTCCTGAATTCAATGTCAAGGAGCTTTGACTTTGGACAAGTTGTAGGTGATGCTTTTGCCTGGATATTGGACCTGTGGCGGAAAGTTTCAACCAGAAACCATTACATTCACTTTGATCTTAAAGTTTTTTGAGACATTTCGATAGGTAGAATGTATACTTTCTCCCTAACTTGGAGAAAGTTCAGAGAATGATCAAAGGAGTTAAAAATAGAGTCTAGAAGGAGAGTTTAAAAGAAGAAAGCTGACGTTGCTTGGAGGAAAAAAAAAGCTAGAAGATAACCTTTATCATGGCTTTGAAGCTACACAGAGTTCCCACTCACAGTTATCCATCCAGCCATCCATTCACTCACCCAAAGTGTCATGCTCTGTAGCGGGACCTGGGGCGTATGGAGAAGGACACACCCAATAGCAGATAAAACAAAGTCTTTAGCTTCAAAAATCTCTCCTCAATTTCTAGTGACCAAGAAGTGAATAAAATTGGGCATAGAGTTGGAAACAAGTAGGAAGTCTGAAGTGAAGGGATTTGAGAAATTGGCATTGGCATGCCAATGACAAAGTAGCGGTGGAAATAAATAAATGCTATGTGTTTATGAGAATTACTGCTGGTTAAATGGTGAAGTAATTATCAGGGCCGATTGGAAGAATTTCCACCAGAAAAAAAAAATATAGCTTCAATTTTGTAGTTTGGAATATTCTATCATAGGCCTTGTGTGGTCAGTATAAAGTAAGGCAACTATTTTGTGGTTTCCCCTGTGCTTTTCATCTATACTTGATACTGTGTGATTCATATCAGGTTCTATCCAGGCCACAGAAACAGCAGAAAAGGAAAAACCAGTGGTGGCATTTTTCCCTACCACAGTGAAGGTAACAGAAAGCCCACTGGTCATGTTTACCAAGAAAATGAGTGTGTACAAATTCACAGTAAAACAGTTGTGCTGCTAAGTCTTGAGTTCCTCTTCTACCTCAAGTTCTGGAAGTGCCCAATTTTTGATTAATTGAGAGTTATCTTCATTTAGGTCGCATAAAATTGTGATTCTGTATCACAAATATTGGGGTGATCTTTTGCTTACTTTATTGAACTGGTACAGAAAAACAAATTAGATAATTTAAATACCAGGGTAGTGTTTTTTTTTTTTATTTGAATATTCTAGTTTGACATTAACCACTCAAACAGGGAAATTCAAAATTTCCTGTCCATATTTAAGTCCAGTGTAAAAACTTACAAAAACCAGGACAAGAGAAAGAAAATTTTATGGTGAAATAAAGGTCTTGCTCGAGAGCACGGCTGACTTCTAATCAATATTTTCAAAATTCTGGAATCGTTGTGGAAACTTAAGTAAAAAAATGCCCAAAATTATCTTTTATGGCCCCCCAATATGCAAACTGCCCATACCTAAAATTATGAGGTATCAGAAAGTTGTTCTAGCCTTTCTTCTTTCCTTTTTTATTGCATTATTGTTATAAATAGACTATTTTTTAAAAACTGTGTATTTTTAATCAATCTGTTAAATAACACATTCTAAGAAAACTATCTACTTGGTACAGATCACATTATTTTCTCCTTAAGATAATATATATATGATGTAATTTATTTATTAATGTAACATATGGCATGGTAATTAGAAAAAAGTTTCTAAACATATCTAATTGGGTAGCATATGCACATACTCAACAGAAGTGACAGCTACTTAATGAAATCTTCCCTATCCCTCCTCCATCCTGAAACAATGTCTCATAGGTCAAATATCTATCTGTTCATTGCTTACCTGTCTCACTTCCAATCAAAGGCTGATTTGCAAAATGCTTGACAAAATCCTTCAAAGATGAGAATTCATTAAAGCCAAATTTAAATGAATATCCAGTATACTCAACATGAAAGTGTTTGACAGAGTCTTTGGCTCTGAAAGGGAAAAAGAAATGCTTAAGGTTATTCAACAAATGCATATCTTTTTTTGAAGGGAAATATAACCTTAGATATTAGCGTCACTATTAAACCTTTCTAAAAATGAGAATTACGACACAATTATTGAAACCACTGGCATCTTTAAAGCACTAGTGTTTTTGGCAAAGCTCTTCTCAATTTTTCACTGCAATGGAAAACAAGAGATGATTCTCCCTGTATGTTCTCTGACTTACCGAGAGGGTCCTTGAACAGTAACTCCTTTCAGGGGCATGTGTTTAAGACCGGCAGAGAATAGGGATGATAGAAAAGACAGGTAGCACCCTCCCCAAGTTGTCCTTTTTGTGGTGCTTACTTGTTTGAGAGTCAGTCTGAATTCTGCTTCTGTCACTTAATTAGTTGTGTGAGCCCAGCCCTTTTCTTGCCATGCTGGTTCAATGGCCTATTGAATAAAATATCTAATCTACAATGTCATTTTCCATCTCATTTTGGAATGAGGCAGAGCCTTAAATAAATTATAAATTATATAGATATATATAATTATATATAAACATATATAAATATATAAATTATATATATTATTTATCTACAGATGCAAATAAATATATACTATTTGACTCCCACTCTTCCTCTCCTCTCTACGAATGGCCTGCTCCAACTTTAGCACACATCTGAAATCAGAATCACCTAGAGGGCTTGTTAAAACCCAGATTTCTAGTTCCTACCTCCTAAATTCCTGATTCAGAACTTCCAAGGTATGGGGTCTGGCAATTTGCTCTCCTAACCTATTCTCAGGGAATGCTGCTGGTCTAGCTGTTCTCACTCTGAGAACAGCTGCTCTCATCCAAGTGGACCCATAATTCTCCTAGAAGTTTCTCCTGTTGTCCCTTAGCATTCTTAGTTCCCTTCACCTGCAACATCATCCTCTTTGTTTCTGATCAAGTGTCAGTTCAAATATTACCTACTCTACCAGTTACTGCATGATACTTCCATCTTGAGTTATTTGCTTTGCTCTCCTCAACCATCCAAACACTTACCTTCTTTCTTTCCCATTGGTTACTGCACTCTGCCTTGTAGTGAGCAACCTGTGTAGTGTCCCACTGCTGCTGAGGCCATACATCCTCAGGGCAAAGTCTGAATCCTCTACAACACTTACCGAAGTGGTTGGCATACAATGGATGCTCTCAAATATTTATTATTAAGGGAGTCAACAAATGAATGAGTAAAATAAGCCATATATAGATATAGATATATATCACCTAATCGTAAGAAGCTTCTGATCTAATTGTTCAAATGAGACATATATAGGTGAAAAGTTAATATTCTTTGATCCAATAATTCCACAGGTTTGTTTGCGATTTTGGGGAGATCTATGCATTTAAAGGATGTGCAGCCTAACCACTTGATGAAATTTTGACCTTTGCTATTGATTAAAGAAAGCACCATTCCTGCTTCTACCCAAGCAGAATTTCATGTCTGAGTACTAATTTTCCCAAAAATGTTATTTAGAAAAAGTTTAAGCAAAACAGAGTAACATGAAAAAATGTTAATGAATGTGTGTGTGTTTTCTCTATGACCCTCTTATTTACCCCATCACACTCTTATCGATTTCTGCCACTAGCCTTAAAGTAGGCGTATCGACTTGCACTGCTCCCAGGAGTGGAAGGGGTGGCAGGCAGCAATCTAACATGTCCTCAATTCTCAGTCCCTGGACTACATACACCTTTTCCCATTTATTCTATAAAATGCTAGTGTAGATGCTACTAAGAAGGGATTTTGCAGATAATTAAAGCCCCAAATTAGCTGATCTTACAATAAGGGAGATTATCTGGGGGTGGGCCCAACCTAATCACATAAGAGTCTTGGTAAAAGCAAATTTTTCTTTCTGGCTAGTCACAGGAGATATCAGAGAGACTTCAGAGAGACATGCTCTAGTTGGCCTAGAAGGAAGCAAACAATCCATGCGGTGAACTGCCTGTGGGAGCCACTTGTCAGGGAACTGTGGGTGGATTCCAGAAGCTGACCCTGGTCCCTGGTCCATAGCTAGATGGAAAATGGGGAGCTCAGCCCCTAGCAGCAAGGAAGTGAATGAGAAAGAATGAAGAAAAAAAGAAGAGAATGAAGGAAGAGGACATAGAGAATAAACCAGATGAACCACAACCTCAGCCAGCACCTTAGTTTTGGCCTGGTAGGAGCCCCAGCAGAGAAACAGGAGAACCCACTTGGACTTCTAATGCACAGAAACTGTGAGATAATCAATGTAGTTGTTTATTTTTTTAAAAGATTTTATTTATTTATTCATGAGAGACACACACAGAGAGAGGCAGAGACACAGACAGAGGAAGTAGCAGGGTCCTCACAGGGAGCCCGATGTGGGACTCGATCCCAGTACCCTGGGATCACACCCTGAGCTGAAGGCAGACGCTCAACCGCTGAGCTACTGAGGTGTCCCTCAATGTAGTTGTTTAAAGCCATTAAATTTGGGGTAGTTTGTTATGTGGCAGAGAAAACATGGAAGTCCGGAAACCCAAAAAGAGGATTTAAAAAGTGTTAATTCTTGTGTTTGAGCTCATAATAGCCTGCCATCAATTATTTAGGGAAATACTTTTTTTTTTTAGATTTTATTTATTTATATGAGAGAAAGAACATGCAAGAGAGCAAAAGCAGTTGGGAGAGGCAGAGGGAGAAGCAGATTCCCTGCTGAGCAGAGCCCAGGGACCCCACGATCATGACCTGAGCCAAAGGCAGATGCTAAACTGACTGAGCCACCCAGGTGCTCCCAGGGAAATACTTTTGAAGCCAGTTTTTCCCTCTATCAGAGGGAGAGGAGCCTTAAAAAACAAAACAAAACAGAACAAAAATGTTTCTAAACTGGATGAAAAAGAGGATTCAGAGAGAAAGGAGTATAGATGTTGCTACTGAGTTAGTGACAAGGAGGCCCAGTCTACACAGAGGAGAAAAGAGTAGAGAAAACTTCCTTATGCCAGATCAGCATGAGAGATGCAACACGAAGGGATTCTTTTCAGAGGTATACAGAGGTGCCATCAGAACAGTAGCAAAACAATAATGGTTTGAGGTTAACAAGTGGGTGCCTGGGCAATTTCATGGAGTCCTCACATCCCTAGTTTAAGCAGACAGCAACTCCCCATGAACCCAGAAAGACTTGCTACGTGTCCGTAGAGGCCAAGGTGACAGATGCTGACTGAAAACCAGTGACTCCCCCTGATTATCCCAGGGCAAGGGCAGCTTCCCTGATGAGGAGCGCAGCCAGGAAGAAGCAGGGAGGAGAGAGACTCCAGAAGGACTGGATCATCACAGGCTTGAGCTGGGTAGCCACTGGGTTAATTTCATTAATATTTAGAGGAAGTGGAGCTTTGAGAAAGGTCGGTCCACTTATAGAAAAAAAAACTTAAAATTTGCCTTACTGCCTGCTTGAGTTTGTGCTTATGGAAGCTGTACAGACATGAATCATTCTGATTTTTCAGGGGAAGCAGGGATATTCAAAGGGCACTGCGCCAGGTTTCAGGGATTTGGATTCTGGTGCTGTTTCTATTGCTGATTTATTGGGTGCAAAGACACTTTACCACTTTGGGTTTCAGATTCTCCACCAGTCAAGCAAGACATTAAACAATTCATAAAGTGTCCTTCAGCTCTCACATTTTCTTCCCTGTGAAGGGAAGGAGGGAGAATGTTTCTTACAGCCCACCATTCAGAGCTTGGAATGCTTAGACCTGGAGATCTAACAGGAATCAAGAGAATTTTTTCTGGCAATGTAAGAATTTTGTTATCTGGTAATTTGAGTGTGATGATCAAGTCAATGTCCGTGTTAGGAAGAGATGGGACAATGTTGAATTCCTAGAGTTCTTAAGTCTCCTACCTCACAGAGAGAGAGTACAACCCGGTCCGTTCATTGCTGTCCCTCAGAAGGTAGCTTCCATCACATCCGTTTGAGAGGAGAAGAGCCTCGGCTGCATGACGTGTGAGGTTGCCGTGATACCACCTAGGAAGGAGAGAACCACACTTTCACTCAGGACAAACCACAGGTTGACTCTTCCTTCATTGGATTTTCCTCTCAAAGATTACCTCAGCAATATTCTCCACCATGGGTAGTCCAGAGACCAAACTCTCAGCCCAAACATCAGGACAAGGAATGCTTTGGGCTGGGCTGAGTGGACTGTAGAGAGAATTGGCTAACAGCAGTGTTAGGGGTTGAATTGTGTCCAGGAGATTCATATGTTGAAGTCTTAAGTATGTGACTTCAGCATGTGACTTTATTTGGAGATGAGGTCTTATCTTTAGCAAGTTATAATGAGGTCATTTAGGGTGGGTGTCTTCTTATAAAAAGGGCATATTTGGAGACAGCCTTGCAAATGGAGAATGCCCTGTGAACCTGTGAAGATGGCCGTCTTACAAGTCAGGACGAAAGGGCTGGAACAGATCCCTCCCTACAAGTCCTGGAAGGGACCAACAGAAGTGACAACTGCATTTCTAGCTTCCATCCTCCAGAACTCTGGGACAATCAATTTCTGCTGTTTAAACCACCCATTTTGTGGCACTTTGTCATGGCAGCTCTAGCAAACAAACATACAATGTTACTGTGTAAACACATTTTTTTCAAAGTCCAAGTCAAAAATAACCATAAGGATAAGGTTTGGCCAATTTTTTCTTTTTTTGATTTCTCTCTCACATTCTCTTTTGCACGTGCTGTACTGCATTTTGAGTGTTGGAAAACCACTGAGCAACTGTACTGGAGTCCATTGTCTTGACTGAAATGAAGTTGAACACAAGGAATTTTAACCTGGAGTTGGTTTGCCTGAATTCTATCCAGGTGATAGATACCTCTACCAGCTGTACAACCTTGGGCAAGTTATGTAACCAGTCTGAGCCTCTGTTTTCTCCCTTCTAAAACAGGATTCATACTAGCCATATTTCATGGGCCAGTTGTACGTACTGCTCACATTAACATGCATGAAATGGCCAAAACAGGCCTAGCAAATGGCTGAACAGAGTACACAATTGTTACACGAAGCCACTGAGACCACAAGGCCATAACTTGTGATATCCTCTGTGGTGTGCTTTTCTTGTTGCATGAATATAATTGTTTTATTACTTTGAATTTATTTTGGATAACAGGAAGCTAGATACTTGGGACAGTTGCTGCTACAAGGGACCCCCGGCTCAGGGCAGTGGAAGGGAAGGGGACACAGGCAACTACACAAGGGATGTCAACTATGTCAGTGATTAAAAAGCTATTGAAGAGGTATGTACAAGAACTTCAAGAAAGAACCCCAGTTCTTGGGGGTTCACCTGAGGGTGAGGGCTCCTGGTGTCATGAACCACCCTGGCATCTACTGTGACATCCCTCTGGCATGAAAGTTTAGCCTGGTAATAAAAAGTACACATAAGACCATCTGTGGAAGGAAATTTCTACATAGGTCTCCAAGCTATCTGTTTTCTAAATCTGCATTTCCCAATACATGCTTCTTTAGCATATTTCCTCTGTGGGGCACAGATGCCTCCATCCTGTATGAGAAATATATTTGCTAGCTGGAAGCAACGGCAAGGAGAAATATTTTGTAAGAACACCCACTAAGCTGTTTAAGCACAAAGCAGCCCGGTTCATTGACCTGATTCACAGATGAGTTCAAATCTTCTTATTACAAAATGCTTTCAAAGGATAATTGGAACCTTGAACTAGTACAATGTTGCCAGTCATGCCTCAATTAAAAAAAAAAAAAAAAGAATGACTGGTATAAAAAACTTCAGGTTTGGGTACAGCAAAAATTCTAATTCTTTTTGATAGGTGAAATCTTTAAAGGTCACAAGCCCTTAAATACATTATACCAACAATTAATTTTTGGATGAATATTTTGGCATGAGGGTCCGTTTGAGCAATAGAACACTTATTTGAAATAATAAAACTTGATTAACAAAATTCTAAAACATAAAGGATTTGGATAGTCCTTTGGATTCTTTTCAAGAGAGATTTGAAGTCTGTATGAGATCCGAAGTCTGTGTTTAAAACATTTACAGATTGCCTGGATCCCTGGGTGGCTCAGTGTTTTGGTGCCTGCCTTCAGCCGAGGGCATGATCCCAGAGACCCAGGATCGAGTCCCACGTCGGGCTCCTGCATGGAGCCGGCTTCTCCCTCTGCCTGTGTCTCTGCCTCTCTCTCTCTCTCTCTGTCTCTCATGAATAAATAAATAAAATCTTTAAAAAATTTACATAATTCTTCTGATAATTACAGCTTGATGACATTTTTTAACTAAGAACTTTATTATGGTAATTTTCTAAATAATAACTATATATGACCAACACATAAGAAATACTTGAGTATAAAGCAAGGAGAATCAGAATGTGCTCTAATGTGTAACATCTCAGCACACGTTAATTTCTGGGTGGCAGCTTGACTGAGTCACTATCGCTATCCCCTGGGGGTTTTATGGAGTCCTGGGCTTGGGATAACCTAACACAGAGACTGTCATGCAGCCTCCTAACTTCATGATGTGTATGGGGCAGTGGGATCTTCATTCCCCAAAGAGCTCTTCCACATATATCTGAACTTCCTCTTCTAGTTAACTATTCCTTTCCTAGAAATTTTGATGAGCATATCTTCCAGAGAAGTGACTATAGGTCCAAGAACATTACATATCCTTTATAGGAATATGTCCCACTTTTGGTAAGATTCAATCAAGACCTCATTCACACAAAGAGCTAAAGGTTGAAAATAAAGTCGATATTTTCCCATAATCAACCTTCTCTACATTTTATCATTCAAATTTTTATTTATTAAGCTTCAAATCTGTGCAGAATATTGCACAAGACTTTATAGAAAGCAGGTCAAAGGGAACAAAAATGTAAAAGCCTCAGTCTAGAGTCTATTCATTAACTATTTTTTAAAAAATATTTTATTTATTTATTCATGAGGCACACACACACAACACACACACAGAGGCAGAAACAGACAGAAGGAGAAGCAGGCTCCCTGTAGGGACCCTGATGCGGAACTCAATCCCAGGACCTCAGAATCACAACCTGAGCTGAAGGCAGATGCTCAACCACTGAGCCGCTCAGGTGCCCCTGGGTTCTATTAATTTAGTCGAGAGGATAAGACAAGTACTTTGCAAACTCTGTCCAAGAGAATGGTTCCGGGGAGAAAGATCAAGACCATTGTTGGAATGAACCAATACCTGAGTGGGCCTTAAAGGACATGTAAGTTGTTTTTTTTAAAGTGTGCATTATTTTTTCTGATTAGAAATCATGTATAGTAAAAATTAAAATATGTACACATACAGAAGAGAAAGTGAAAGTCTCTCACAAAAGAGGAAATATGTATTTCAAATAAATCTCAATACTAATCAGAGAAATGCAAATTAAGATAACAATGTGATTATTTTCTTTATTTGCCAGATTGGCTAAAACTGAAGAATTAGAGAGGATTAGGTATTGAAGAATACAGGGCCATGGCTATTACCATCTACTGTTGGTAAAAGGGTGTAAGTCAGAGGGGAATCTAGCACATGTGAACAGAACATGGATGGACGTGTGACCAGCAAGTCCTGTTCTAGTGTCTGCCTCCAGAACCACTCACACATAAGCAGATGGAAATAGGAACAGAGGTGTTTCTTGGTGAGAGTAAAAATTTGAAACCAGCCTAAATATCTACCAACAATGAAATGATAAAGTTGAACTCAAAGGATAAGATTATGTAATAAGTTAACTGAAAGTGAAAAGGTGTTGAGAGCATTTCATTGCCAAGTGATGAGGGCAAGGGGTCAGGTGCTACTGGCACTTTGGGACGGGGGCAGAATGCTTAACTCCTAACAAAGAACAGTGCAGTCCTGAACAAGTGAAAACTGTCCTGCTCAGAAGCCAAGCACACCCCCACTAAGAATCACTGAAGATGTTTGTGGTACATGCACACATCAAGGTTGATGGACCCAAAATATGTCAGTAAGTTAGAGGAACTAGTGGCAGGTGCAGTATGATACCACTTATTTAAAAAAAAAAATCTTTTCCCTCCACCCAAAAAATAAAATACATATATATTTACATATAAAGGCATGTAAACACATAAAATAAAAGTCTGAATAAAAAGGGAGCCTGGGTGGCTCAGTTAGTTAAACATCTTCCTTCGGCTCAGGTCATGATACTAGAGTGCTGGAATCAACCCCCTCATCGGAATCGCGTTCTACCTCTGCCTCCCCGCACCGCCGCTCATACTGTCTTTCTCTCAAATAAATAAAATCTTAAAAAAAAAAATGTCTGAAAAAAATGCACACCAAACTCAAATCCTGGAAGGAACCAAGATTAAAGATGCTGTTAATTTCTTCTTTAATCTAACCTCCAGAGATAGCCCTGTTAATAGTTGATTTTATTCTTTGATTTATTCAACTATTGTGTGTTGAACACTGGAACTGACCTAGCACTTTGGGGATTGGGAGAGGGAAGGAGAGGGAGAGGGAGAGAGGGAGAGAGAGAGAGAGAGAGAGAGAGAGAGAGAGAGAGAGAGAAAGAGAGGAGAGAGGGAAACTTTTTCTCCATTTAAGCCTGGTATGATTGGGAATGACAACTGTTCAGAGAGCTATTCCATGGGAAAGGAATTAAGAGGAGTGCAGACCTAGAAACAAGAGAATGGTAGGTGTGTCTAGTATCAGAGCACCACTTGGTGGTGTGAGTAACTGGGGGTGAGTGCCAGCAGGGCACAAAGGCAGTCAGGGGTGGTGAGATGAAGCTGGGTGGTTGGCCAAGTTACATAGGGCCCTGGATATTGACAGATCCTTGGTTGATGGCTCCACAGATTTTTATGGCTTAATAAGCACATCTGACATTACTTAACATTACTTAAAGTTCTAACTGCATGAAACTGGGTCCCACCTAAGCTCCTATCACTGAAACTGTGTTAAAAAAAATTATTTTTTGATTACTCTGGTTTTTAAGGGGATGGGTCAGATTTTGAGGAGCTTGAAGTTTGTAAAATTTGGAATTCTCTTTAAGAA